TTAGAATCTACTTACTACACTCACGACCTAAGTAATGTCTGGCCGAGTGCACTGCATGACATACATGATGCTCTCTACGGTAGAGGCATAGGGAATTTCCTTCATGCCCTTAATCTTCTTAAGTGTCTTGGGAGACATTCTCTTGGACAGAATGACTCAATGCCTGAAAGGAACATTTCCTTTCTTGGAGTTTTCCACACTGTATCTTCTGACAGATTTGTCTATGTAAGTAGACTGGGATAATCCTATTATCCTCTTTGATCTATCTTTATAGACTCAAAGCCCCAAGATATAAGAGGCTTCTCCAAGATCTTTCACAGAGAATTGCTGTGAAAGCCATACTTTTACCGTAGTCAACATTCCTATATCATTCCCAATGAGTAGAATGTCATCTACATGCAGAACTAGGAATATAACCTTATCTCCCACTGTCTTCCTGTAAACATAGGGCTCATCCGGATTCTACTCAAAGTCAAATCGGATGTTCCAACTCTTAGAATCTTGCTTAAGTCCATTTTTTGATTGATTAAGTTTACACACCTTGTGTTTCTGACCTGCAACAATGAATCCTTACAGTTGTTGCATGTAGATATCTTCAGTAAGATCTCCATTCAGGAACGTGTTTTTGACATCCATTTGCCAAATCTCGTAATCATGGTGTGCTGCTACAACTAGCAGGATCCTAATGGATTTAAGCATGACCACTGGCGAAAATGTTTCGTCATAGTTGATTCCCTCTTTCTAAGTGTACCCTTTTCGCCACAAGATGAGCTTTATACGTCTCAATGTTACCATCTGGGCTCTTCTTCCTCTTGTAGATCCATTTGCAACCAATTGCTTTCACCCCAGGGGGCGGGTCTACAAGAGTCCAGACCTTGTTGGTCTCCATCGAGTCCATCTCAGCTTTCATGGCATCTACCCACTTCAATGAATCTATGTCCAATATAGCTTCCATATAAGTCATGGGATCTTCCTCATTGTTCATGGCTTTCATCAAGTAACTTTCTTGATCATAGCCGTAGCGAACTGGAGGGAGAAAACAATCAAATTGACAAAATGGCATTCCATCCAGTTCGCTACGACTATGATCAAGAAATTTACTTGATGGAAGCCATGAACAGTGAGGAAGATCCCGTAGCGATGGGTAAACCTCCTAGGTTGGCTATTATCTGGAGCTTGTGGGACATCTCCCACTACCCCTGAGATCTCCTCATCAAGAACAACTTCCTGATGATGATTGTCCAGGATGTAATCTTCTTACAAATTACAACATGATTTAATTTATTATTATTGTCCATGTAAATAAAATAAAACACTAACAATTATTTGCATAAAAACTTACTTGGGAATCAATAAGTATCAACTTACATACTTTTTGAATATTATTGCCCTCTCCAAATGAATGAACATCAAACTTTTTGATAAGGCGACCTTTTAGGTCCCAATATTTCTTTGAAAATTTCATCTTATAAATTAAAGTTGGGTGAAATGCCATTTTGTTAATATAACTAAATAAATAAAAAAACTTCAAATTGTAAGAATAATCAAATTGAATTTGCACGAGGGAGAGAACTAATGTTATAAACCAGTATTCATTAAGACAAAAATCCTTTGAGAAAACTAATGAGCTAATCCAATTAGAATAATAGAAAAAGAAATTTTAATTACAATTTAAATACTGTATTTATTAAAAATACTTTTATATATAAAATTACTATATTTATTATATATAAAATATGGTTAATTAATACTGTTAATTAATTATTTTCTTGGCAAAAATTAATCTATTACAATTTTTGGTAATTAAATTTAATTTTTAGAAATTTATAGCTTAAATTATAATTATTTTTATTTACTTATAGTATTTATTAAAATTATGGTTAATTAATACTCTTAATTGATACTACTAAATAATTAGATACCGTTTTGTTAATTAAAAACTATAACTAATAAATATTGTAATTAAGTGAATACCATTAATTAATAAATACTATAGATATTGAAATATCGTATTTATTGAAAATACAGTTAATTAATACTACTAATTAATAAATACTATAATCTGTGTGAGACATGTGGTGAGCGGTCCTCTTACCTCTCATTCCTCTTTATATTATATTAGTAAGTGTGCATGTTCTTTGCACGTGGCAATTGTAGATGATGATAATTATAGTAATAATATATCCAGGATTTTCTACAAGCTTTATGTATTTTTATTTTTATATTTTTTGTTTTTTATTATTAATCAGATGTAGATTGCAAAATTCAAATCTAATTACATAAACACCACATCCAAATATGTGATCAGATCGAATTGTGAAGTTTCAAGTATCATTGGCATGCCTACCTGCTTGGCTAAACTCATTTTTTGTAGTGTTTTATCATTTTGTTGCATCCTTTTTCTTTTGTTCATTTATCAAAAAATGTAAGATTTAAATAGAGGGAATGCGACAAAAAGTAGTAGTTCAATTTACAATTTAAACCTTACAATTAAATAAGGACTAAATTCAAAAATGAGTATTTTAGTCATTACATTAAAAATCAGACTAGACCAAACGATCGAACCAATTTGGCTTGGGAACTGATCAAGTCGTCGGTTCCATTTTGGCCCTAAACTGCTATTTTACAAAAAACTGTTGAAATGGTAAGAGAACCGTTGACCCGGATAGTTTAATCGTTAAAATGTTTGACCTAGTTAACGATTCTCGTGTTACTTTCAAACTAATTCCAATTCATTTATTTATTTAAAAATAAAATCTAGAAAATAAAAAAATAAAAAAAAAACTTTCATATCTCATAATCTTGTTCAATTATTTCCGATGGCCAAAATTAGTTAGGGTTTTTAGTTTTTCTATTTTGATTTTGAGTTTTCTCATTTCTATGATTATTTTTAAGTTGTAAAAAAAATGCAACTTGAATGAAGAAATAAAAAAACTGATTCAAGAGGTGAGAGATTAAACAACGATCTTATGTTAAAATTTGAGATACACCAAGTCACCATTGAAGCAAATGATCTGCGATTTGAGAGATATTTAGAGAGATGAGAGAGATATAAGAAGATGCCAACCGGTGTTGTAGCAACAATGATGATGAACATGTTGATAGTCGTCGACGACTTCTTCTTATCTTCTTCTTTTCTTTTTTTTTTTAACTTCTCAGCTTTAACTAGTCGCTTCCTTCTCAAAGTTTCACACTCCCTTCTCATAATAATGTATATATACGGTGGACTTTAACTCAATCCTAATCTAAGGTCAAAATAAAAGGTTGCATTATATTTTACATCTTACCGATTTGACTCGCTCAATCTTGATGGTTGAACCCCTGACCAAGAAATCAAAAGCCAAAGCGATTCCGTTTTTGGGTCAGTTTTTAAAACCTTGATTTTAGTCAAAAGAAAGTTGCACAATCCTATTCATATTTTTAATAGTGTAAATATAAATTTATGGATGTGTTCAATTTTTTTATAATTTTTTTTGTATTTTTGTGTGTAAAAAGAATTCTAATATGTCACATTTACTTTTTGGTTAATATGATAAATATATGATATTATACATGTCCCTAAATGCTTTTCTTTTTGCAAAATTTATGTATTTTTAACTTTAATTTTATATTTTATTAATTTATATTATTTATTTATGACATTAAAGGTTAATACATTTGACCCAAAAGTTGAAATTTTTATTATTAATTTTTATATTTTATTTTTGGTTAGTTCTAAATTATGTATTTCATTTTCATTATGAATTAAAATAATTCTTGTTTATTACACTTATTTTTCTAATTTGATTAATAAAAATATCATAAATGTGTCTAATTTTTTCTACATTTTTTTTTGTAAATTTCTATATTTATTTCTCTTTAAAAAAATTTTATTGTCTAATTATGACTTCCTAGGTTGATCAATTTGATTTGGATGGTTGAATTGTTTATCCACCACTCGGACAAATAATGGTTTTGTTTTTGAGACAGATTTAAAATATACGAGTTTATATTGTTAAAAATATTGACATAAATCTAATTAGTGCATTTATTTGTGAAAAATAACTTAAAAATAAGATTTAATAAAAGAAAATAGGTTTTAATACCTTAAGTATAAGACTTAATGAGAGAGGATTAAATGAGATGAAAAGTAATAATTGAAGTTGCATTTTCAACACTTATATTTAGAAATGGATTAAATACACAAATATGATCATTATAGTTGCCATTAAAGGTGGCATTAAAACTATAATAAATTAGTTTTATTCTATTTTTCAAATAAAAAAATAAAAGATAATTTTAGTCTAAAAAAAGGTTTAACGTAACATTCACACTTTTTACTTTTATATATAGTTTAGATATATAAATAGGATTCACATATGGATTTGGTAGATTCATTTTATGTTGAGATGTAGACATGAATAAAATAAAAAATTATTGATGACAACACTTGTGACCTCATTGTTGGATGGAGCCAAGGACACTAATAAAATAAAAATTAAAAAAGGTATATTACAGACTTCCTCTACTTTGAGTGTAGTGACCTCATTGTTGAAACGCCTATAACCTCAGTATTGCAACTTTCATTTGCCAGAAATATCCACCCTGAACTTTAACATTCCAGCAACAGTATGCTTCATTGTCCATGATTCTCATTTGACTGATATGTGCTTGTTTTAACCTTTTAAAACTCTAAATTGGATTTTTGTCATGTTAAAATTGATAAAGTACAAGAAAAAAATAAAAAAGAGTAGAAAATTACAGATAATACAGAAATTATAACAAAAATAGAAAAAGAAGAAAATATAGAAAATATAACAAATAATAAGTGAAAAATACAGAAAATGCTAAAAATTAAAAATAAAAACTACAAATACAGCAAGAGATAGCAGGCTTTAACGTGCCTATTTTTGATATATTCATTTTTTTGCTGTGGGCCCATCAAACTTGGAATGCGCGTGGCCCGCTTTGAAGCCATACACACAGTTCTTTCTCTTTTTCGCTTCCTTTTAATCGAATCTCACAGTAAAATCAAAAGTTCAAAACCTCTCCTTCTCTTAACTCTTTCTTAATCCCGTTGCACCTTTTTATTAGAGAGAGAGAGAGAATGCGATATGGTATCGTCAGGCGGGGCGAAGAAGCTATCTGGGATGCAGAAGCAGGTGCTGAGTCTCTACAGAGGGTTTCTCAGAGCCGCTCGTTCTAAGGCCCCCGAGGAGCGCCACCGTATCGAATCAATCGTGTCGGCCGAATTCCGCCGCAACTCGGAAGCTGTCGATCGCAAGAACTTCGTCTACATCGAGTATCTCCTTCGCCGCGGCAAGAAACAGCTCGATCAGATCAACAGCCCTGATATTGTAGGCTTATCCTCCCTCAAGGTTGCCTCCGCCTCCGGCACTAAACCCTAACCCCGATACCAATTGCTTTTTCATGTTGTGTTCTTTTCTTTCTTTTTTTTTTTTCGGCTTCTTCGAATTCGACTGGTTTTCATCTCGCACCCTTTGAATCGATCCATCGGTGCAAGAAAAGTGAAATTACAAACACTTTGTATTCGAGAAGGAACTAAATTTCGTTCATTAGTCTCTTCGCAAATCTCAATTGTTCTTTTGTGCTTCTTCTCCTCGTCCTTGTATCTCTTTCTTTATTTATATGTGTAGATGCACAAAATTAATAACAGTTTCATTAATTTGTTTTTGGAAAAATTCCTTGCCACTTTGTTCTCCGAACTTTAAAAGCAACAATCCAGAACTTTTCAAAACGTGTCCATCCAGTATTTATCGTTAATCAACATTTAATCAGCCGTTAAATGCCTTTGAAAATGACATAAATGTCTTTTTAGTGTCATCTAATTTTCTTTATCAACCATTCGAACGTTGATACAAAAATTAACAATTCTTCTTCTATTTAAGAAAGTTGGGGTCACGTCTTAGTACGCATTCTAGACTCTAATTTTCTTGAATATAAGAGACAAGGATTTAGAATTGTTATTTTTTCGTCAATGTTTAGATGGTTAATAAAGAAAATTAGATGACACTCGAAGCACATTTGTGTTTTTTTGAAAGGTATTCAATGGCTGGTTATAGTTGATTAATGACAAGTACTAGATTGACATGTTTTGAAAGTCCAGGTGCTTAATTCTCACATTTTAAACTTTGAAAACCAAAGTGGCACTAGGCACAAAGTATAAGGTACTAATAGGGAATTTTCCCCTTTTTTTGTGTTGCATCCATTTAATAGATCCAACCCAGAAAAAGAGGAATTTACATGCCAGGCCACGATAGAAATATTTATCGGTAGAAGCAATATACTTAAATTGAAATATCCCAAATTCATGATGGGAATAACAAATTTCAATTCACTATAGTGGTCCACCTCTTGGAATGGCACGTCACACAAGTGACACAAAATACCTAAAATGCCCTTCGAGTAATGTCACCTCACCCTATATTATGAAATCCCTAAAATGCCCTTTTCTCTCATGAGCTATAATTTCCCTTCCCTCTTTCTTTTATCCACTCTCACTTTCATTCTCACCTTCATCAAACAACCTATACTTGTCAGAAAATATACAAAGCACCTCGTCCATAACTTTGCGCCGACGCAAACCAACGGAGCAGAAATATCTCTTTTCCACGCGATTGACTTTCATTTTTTATGTTGTTCGATCTGAGGTGTTCTGAATCGAGGACAATCAAATAATTTTGTTAATTCGACAAAGCCGAGGTGGAAGGACGAAGCCATGCACTAGGATATGCAACTAGGAGAAGGGTTAGAGGTCCGATGAGTTATTCCCTGGGTAGGTACTCCGACGCTCAAGTCAGTTGAATAGGGAAGAAAGTGGTTAGGCCAAGCAGGTTGGAATAATGTTGGTCTGAGTTGAAGAGATAATGTAGGGATACTTAGAGAAAGTTCTTCCAAAAGAGTCCCTTACCTTGAGCGGGGAGTACCTATTTATGGTTGAGTGTCCATGTCCTAGATGATGGGATGAGATATCCATCGTATGGACGCCCGAATCTTGCGAAATAGAATGGGCAAATTTCAAAAATTTCTCTCCATCCTATTGGGAATCGAATTCTCTATTTTAGAAAAATCATATTTTCAATGATCAATCTTGAACCAAGAATCGAACCAAATCTGAACAGAAGCAGTAGGAGAGGGATATACCTGATACGGAGAAACAGTATCTCCCAATGGAGGCCTTCACGCCCAAGGAAGAAACCAAAAACTGCTCCCACTGAATATGACGCAGTGCATGATGGAGCAAAGTTAGCAGTGTTCTTCCCAAGAACCTGATCCTTCGCAAGAATCAGCAGGACGGCACGTGAGAACAGCTTTCTATCAGTCCCTTCACAAGAAACTGATATCAAGATCCAATCTTGATTTCTCCCACTTAATTAGAGGTCGAACTGGCAGGTGAGGCGGCAATAGGAAGGAGGCGGCAAAAAAGAATTTTCGCAAGGTTGCTAAATTCTTTCTTCTGTGATTTCATCTTTGAAGAGGATGTGAATATGTGTCTTCTAAAGGCTGCCGCCCCCTCCTCCTTTTATAAGCTTAAAGGGATAAGCTCCTAAACCCATTAGGAGTTCCTAATCTGAATCATATTTGGATTAGAATTCCCTTTAAGTGATAAGGGTAAACCCTTATCTTATCTGCAGATTAGATCAGCCTCTTCCTAATCCTATTAGGAGGTTTCCAGATCTGAATGGACTCTCTGAGTGGATAGGGTTATGACCCAATCCCATCTGCTAATTTAATCTCAGAATTCGCCCCTTATTTAACTGATCAAATCAACCAAGTTCAAAATGGGCTTTAGGCCCAATAAGGTTATGTGCTCACTTAGGCTTCCAATCTGCTGCCCAGTTGGGCTTCCTTGTATGGCGTGGGACTCAAACATTGATCTACACATCAGCCACATGGGTTC